GACACATATATATATATATATATATATATATATATATATATATATATATATATATATATATTTGACAATAAACTCAAAAAAGCCGGAAAGCTAGACTTAAAAACGATTTTTGAGATTAGTGGAAAGAACATAATATTTTATCATTTCATTAAAATATATGATAGAATGGTATAGAAACAATATTTCAACGTTTAAACAACGCGGAAATATGAAAAATGAGGTATACCATTCATCATCATCATCATCGTCATCATCAAATGTCGGCGGTGTTTGAGAAATGCAGCTCAGTTCTTGAAGATACCGATAGCGGTTCCACCGGCTCTGAAGCCCGACGGGAATTTCTCGCGTGGAGCCAACTTCGCCGTCGCCGATGCTTCTGTTCTTGGATCCCCCCCTGAATCCGTAAACCCACTTTTTTCCTAAATTTAAATATCATTTTATACGATCATCATCGCTATGACCCTTTCAAAATTTTGTATTTTTTTTGGTTGAAATCTGGTAGATGAGCCTTAGCCAACAGCTGAGCAAATTCAGGAAAATGGGACTGTGGAACGACGATTACCTGTCGAAATCTCTGTTTCTCTTCTACATCGGCACGGAAGATTACTTGGACTTCGCCAAGAAAAACCCTAGCGCAGATTCTTCCGCTCAGCAAGCCTTTGTCACCTCAGTCGTCTCCAAGATCAAGCAAGACCTTGGCGTAAGCGACGATGATATAAAAATTTGATTTTTTTTTTCTCGTATCACCTCCACGATCTTGTTAATGATTATACAAAACGCAAACGCAGTTATTCTACGTAAATGGAGCGAGGAAGTTCGCGTTCCAAACGCTGGCACCGCTGGGCTGCTTGCCGATCGTGAGGCAAGATTACAAGACCGGAGATCAATGCTACGAGACACTCAACGACCTGGCCAAGCAACACAACGAGAAGATCGGACCAATGCTGGACGCTCTGGCCAAGGAAAACCCCGGTTTCCAATACACCATCTTCGATTTCTACCACTCCACTACTCGTAGGATCATCGGCGGCTTGAGCTACAGTGAGTTGAAAATAATATCTCGTATTTTTTTAATAAGAAAAACCTTATATAAATAACTCAATTTTGTAAAATATACCAACCTTTAAACTTTTAATTTGATCTAATTAATCGACACTTAAAATATACAAATATTTCAAATTGATATTCACTTCACCAAATCGATATCAATTCTCTATCTTGACATAAAAAAAAAATTTGATTGAAGAAGGTATAGAAATCGATTACGTATCTAATGTAGAGTGTGGAGGTTGGGAGATCGAGATCAATTTCCAACCTCGGAATCGAGGTTGAGAATTGTAATCGATTTCGTGAATTGGAGTATATCATTTGAAACATTTGTATATTTGAGATATCAATTAGATCAAAATAAAAAAAAAAGTTTAATATCAATTTGACATATTTCGCAAAGTTGAAGTATTTAAATAAGATTTTTCCATTCTATCAATGAATCAATATAATCATATTTGACATATTTCGCAAAGTTAGAAGTATTTATATATTCGTATATATCTCTAATACTATTTCTCTCTCTGATACGAAATGGTTTTGATGGTTACAGGGTTTCTGAACACGAAAAACGCGTGCTGCGGGATTGGATCGCACAACGCGTTCGGGTGCGGATACCCCAACGTCCACTCGAACCTGTGCGATTACCAGAGGTCGTACCTTTTCTTCGACGGGCGTCACAACTCGGAGAAGGCGAACGAGGCGTTTGCTCATCTGTTCTTCGCGGCCGATCCCAACGTGGTTTCGCCCATGAACCTACGGGAGCTCGTTGTCTACCCTCCCAACATGAACATGCTCGAGAGTTACCAGACACCAAAGTCTGCTGCTGTTTCTGATTCTGTCTCCATGGGCGTTGCCGCCGCTTGAGTTTTTAGGGTTTGATCTCTTGTTTCTTCTGCATGCGTTTGTGTTTCTTACTAAGAGACCGGTCACTCTCCTTGTCGTTTGTTGTAATAATTCGCGATTATATATGCGATAATACGATGCATCCCATCTTTTTAAACGTAGTTGTTTATATGCCATTATTGAGCAAAAAGAGCAAAGAACATAGTCATATTCAAGGGGAAAAAATGATCATTATCCAAAGACAAAATATCTAAGTTTAATAAACTTAAGGATTGTAATTAACGCAATGGGAAAGTCTCATTCCAAACATGCAAAAAAATTACACAAAAAAATATACACACGAAAATATACGTATACTCTGAACTTATATTCGTATATATAATTGTATACACACACGAAAATCCGGTCACATGATCAGATGGTTGATTTTGCTAAAAACTCAGAATTTTTAGTAGAAAATAGAATTATAATATCCAACAAAAAAGTTCAATAAAAACAAAAATATTTTCATTAAATTCCATCATATTCCATTAAAAATCACCCGGCCCTCATCGATCGTAATGGATGACGTTACGCCTAACAAGTGGACTACTTATCTTATTTTCCTAATAAATGTCTCGTCTGCAACACTTTTACATTATTATTTTTTTCATTTTATTTAATGAGATCTGATCCAAATAATTTAATAAATTCACGCTTATCTTGGCAACTAGCCACCCACTGTCCACGAGCTCCCCACCGAGCAATAAAAAAATTAAATTAACATACAATTTGAGTATATTTTATTTTTTAATTACCACTACTTAATATAATTAAACAAAACTTAATTTAGAAAACGAAAAAAAAGAAATTGGTAATGGCAGAAATCACGTTCACAAGCATATGGTTCGCGTTGAAAAAGCAGAGGAGACGACAGAACTCCATCACCATCCCATCTCTGTCGCAATGGCAGTCAACCGTAATTTAGTCGCCGTGGTAGGGCTATTTCTGGCATTTACTCTCTTCAGTTTGCCGGCTGAAATCTCCGGCGAACAGACCCTCCTGTTCACGTTCGGAGACTCATCATACGATGTGGGAAACAAGAAGTTCTTCTCGTCGGAGTTCGATCCCGCCGCTGCGTGGCCGTAGCGATGTGGAAAACAAGAATTTCTTCTCGTCGGAGTCCGACCCCGCCGCTGCGTGGCCGTACGGAGACTCCGTCGACGACCCGACCGGCAGGTGGTCCGACGGACTGATAGTTCCCGATTTTGTCGGTATATCAGCTGTTCTTCGCTAGGGTTTAAATGAGATTTCTGGATTTCAGAGGTAAAGCGTTGAATTTGTACTGTTTGATTTGGGTTTTGGCCTTTCGATAGGGAAGATGATCGGAATTGGAGAACCGGTTCCTCCGGTTCTTGATCCAAAAGCCGATCTCTCTCGTGGAGCGAGCTTCGCCATTGCAGGGGCAACTGCTCGTGGAGTTCCTTCTGATACTGTAAGCATTTGCGCAAGTGAATATGTCAAAATTCGAAAGAAAAGATGCGAACTTTTCTATTGCCCTTAATTTGTTCGTGGATTTAGATGAATTAGGGACTAGATAGATTGGAAGTCCGGTTCCAAACTGCTCTGTTTCATTGCTAATATCTCTGTTTTTAGGTATGCCCATTAGTGGTTAATCATGGAGATTATAAATGGAACTCTGAAAATTATCTGAAGAAGACATCGTTAGTGAATTCATGTTTCCTGTTTCATCTCTCTTCAATCTCTGGAGGAAGTTATGTTAGGGATGCGCTCACATGGGCAGTGTTTGTGTTCTTGCAGATGAGTTTTCCTCAACAAGTATCAAAATTTATGGAACTAAAAGGGAGATGGACCGACAAACAACGAGCAGAAGCTCTTTACATGTTCTACGTCGGAGCGGACGATTACTTGAAATTCGCCAAGGAGAATCCGAGTGCCAGTCAGGCCGACCGATATGTCTGTATTGCGAGCGTTCTAACTAAGATATCGAGTAGCCTCTACGTAAGTCTTCAACGTTCTCAACCGTCCCAAGAATCATCCAACCGATAAGAAATTTGATGTCTCTTCCAACTTGTTTTTTTTTCCTCTGTAGGATCTGCACAAGAAAGGCGGGGCGAGAAAAATCGCCGTACAGAACTTACCACCGCTCGGATGCTTACCGATAGTGAGACAAGAATTCAAGACCGGCGAGGAATGCCTTGAGATACTCAACTTCATGGCATCAGTTCACAATGAGAGGCTTAAACGATTGCTCGGCCAGATAACTATACCTCTCCGAAACCTACGCTACAGTCTCCTCGATTTCCACAGTGAAATTCTCCGAAGGATCAATGATCCATCTCGGCACGGTAATTTCCTCATCCTCTCCTCTCTTTTCGATTTCCTTATTCAAACGGTCGATTACGTTAATACACAAAAACTAAACTTTTCAAGATTTCGGTGAACTGATCTGGATCACGTTTGATGGCAGGATACACCGACACAACGACGTCGTGTTGCGGGATTGGACCGAGAAACGCGTTTGGTTGCGGATACAGCAACGTGCATTCGAATCTCTGCAGCTACCAAAGGTCGTTCCTTTTCTACGACGGCCGTCATAACACCGAGAAGACCAACCGGGAAATCGCCGATCTCTTCTACTCGGGCGACAAAAACGTCGTCGTGCCCCGCAACATAAGAGATCTCATGCGCGAACCCGCGACTGATCTCCTTCAAGAAAGCTAAAAACGCAGAAAATCTGGTCAGAAATCTCATCGGAATAAGTGATAGTCGCTTCCCATTTGATAAGCTCTACGCATGTTATGGTAATTCTTCGAACCATTGATGTTGTCATGAGAATGGTGTCAATTTAATCTATTGGTCCAACTCCAAGGCCCTCGGACAAGATCTTATCATTTCTATTACAAGGGTTTTGTTTCATAGCCATTGTTAGTGTTTCAAAAGGGAATGGAGGTTGACAAAATACATGTAGAACTCTAACTGTTAATTAAAATAACCAAATATCCACACACAAACGTAATTTTTTAGAAAAAAAAACAATAGCATTGTCGTAATACAATAGCTCAAAAGATGAAACTCTTTGAGTCATTAACTTGTATTATTTGAATATTAAGGGATGCAAAACCTATATAACGGATACCGTTTTTATACGTCCTTGAATTCAAATAACATCTTTATATTATAAGGTCCTGTGACATTAGGCTGTCCACTCCACATTAGCTTTGCGATCTGTCCATACGCCTTCTCCGTTCCATGGGAGGAGTCGAAGAACATATAATCTCTAACGTTTTCGCATAATTCGTAATCCTCCGACATTCCAAGTCGATAGCCGCACGTGTTGATTCCTCGGAACGGTCCACTCCCGCAACATGCCTTCTTCACCTCTTTAAACCCTTCAAAACCCCGTTTTTGTTGAATTTAAATAGAGAGATTCCGAATTTGATTTGAACAGATTATTCAATTCAAAATGTAGAATATGCCTAAATTGGATTAAACCGAATTTATATTCTAATAAAGATCAGAACAACAATACTCGATCTCGTGATGCATTTATATGACACAAGACATTATCTATAGAATATGATTTGAACCCATCCTTATTATGTATCATCATTGCCTACTCTTAATGTTTCAATCTATATTTGTAATTCCTCTCAAATAATATAAATAATTTAATAATAAATATTATCAGAATAATTTTAATTTAAAATTATATATATATATATATATATATATATTACTTGAAATTTAATTAGTTTTCTCATGTATTTTCAATTTTTCACTAAACTCAATGCAGTGGGCTCAAAATGAGTTTCTCTAGTTTTAGAGGCCCATCGTTGATCAGTTGACCCAGACAATTTAAGCGCGTGGGTCACCCCGCGCTTTTAATGAAAGACGTGGCGCGTGGGTTATGACCAAATATAGTTCAATTGATTTTTTTTCTTCACAGCATTTGTTTTCTCCTTGTGGGAAAAAAAAAATTAGAAAGCATTAATTTGGTTTATTTAAGGATATACATAAATTTAATATTAATTTTTAGTGGTAATCATATATGACTCCATTGCCACTAACTTAGATCCTTTCATATATATATATATATATATAGATATAGATCAAAGAGTGAACGTACCGTATTTCGAGGGATTGTTCATAACACGAGACATCAAAGAGTGGAAATCGTGAAGGGCGTATTTGAATCCGGACAATTCGATTTCAAGATTCTTGAGGGCTCTAGGAAAAGCTTGGTTGTGGAGGTTTATGAACTCTGTGATCGGCTTGAAACATGCTCCTATCCTTGTCGGGTCCATGACCAACGCATTCGGTACGCAATCGAACCGACCCATGTTCATGAATCCGAACTTCCTCCCTCCTGCACTGTACACTTCCTATGATCCAAAACCAATAACAAATTTTACTTCATACCTTATTAGAATTTGGGACCAGTTATCTCGGATTTGATTTCGTTAGGATTTTGCTACGCTTCTTCTTGTATGTGTTCCTCGTTTGTTATCACACAAAAAGTAATTTTTATCTCGATACATCCAAGATACCGATTACCGAGTAAATCAATTCTTTGTACTCCTTATACCTTGATCACGGCTGTGATATTACCGACGACTATATCGACGAATTCCGCTTTCTTCGTATGCGATTGGAAGCTTGAAGAGTTTAAGGAGAAAGGGTAAAAGTAATCGTTGGCACCAATGTGAAAAAGATAAACGGCTCTTGACAGCAGCTTCTTTGCTTCTGCATCTCCAAGATTCTCCGTCAAGATCTTCTCCACGTTCTTGAAGTTGCGCAACTGCGTTTTCAAATCTATCACCTGAAAGCAAATCATACATGAAATCGATAATATATAACCGAAAACATATATATATGGACCAATATGATATATACCAGTCCTTGAAACGTTGTGGCCAAAGCTCCGGCTCCTGCCGAAGCGAAATTTACTCCGTAGGTGAACTGGTTAACGTTATTACCGGGCTGTAAATATGGTGGAATCGACATGCTCCCTCCCCTTCTTTAAACCCTAATCCGTGTTTTAAACCGCAAAAAAGAAAAAAAAAAAAGAGATTAAATTAAGTAAATAAATATGTTCACAAAATTAAGATGACCCACTTACCAAATCTCGAAGGATATCTCATTCTGAGTCCAAGGCTTGAGTTCATGTCCAAGGATGAAAATTTGAAGCCCTTGAGCTGTTCCTCCAGTTGAAAGAGAAGCTTCGACAGAGCTTTGTTGTGCATTGTTGCTAATGATGAAGCTTCTCCGATGCAAGAACCGTCCTTTTCCGGTTTAAGTACTCTCATAACCGGAAGACAACCCAAATCCGGCACATTCAGGACACCGAATTTCCTCCCTCCGATCTTATATATTTCCTGGTGAAAATTGGATACAAGAAGCCCTATATAATGCACAAGTGAATATTAATTATATATAGATGAAGGGTTAATTTGATCGGTTACTTACTCTAATGAATGCGGTTAAATTGCCCATAACCATACCGACATGTCGGGATTTGGATCTGGGAATTAGAGATAACCGGTTGGTCAAGAAAGGACTCAAGTAGTCATTGCTCCCGATGGAAGAGAAACAAATGGACATAATTAACAAATCTAAAGAACGAAAAATACATCTTCGTACCGATAAAATCCGGAATCACACGTCCGTCCGAAAATCTTCCGGTGGGAGACTTGAACGTCGTCATACCGTACGGCCAGAAATTCGCTTGGGCGCTGCGGATAGTGTTGATGTAATTGTTGTTTCCGACATCAAACAACGAATCTCCGAACACAAACAAAGCTGCTTGACTCGTCAAGAGACCAGCTTTGCAGTTTGTCGGATCGATCCACAGGCTTACAACAAAAAACGCAGAAAAAATCGGACCGAATCGAAAATTTCCCATGTCTATATGTTTTAGATTCTGAACGCTAAACTTGTGTTTTAGCTTTGCGTAGAATGCTTAATGAGAGAATACTAGTTGATATACAAGCATTATTGGTCAGTTTCCTTCTGTGACTTTGCAATGTCCGACTTTTAATTACGTTGTTTAATTGCAATTATGGCATACGATGTATAATATAATAATATCTAAAGCTGCATTAAATAAGACAGTTTGTTCAAAATTTGAACAAGGTTTCACGAGTCAGCCGTTGCTGGTGCCAACTGATTATTGACTATATATAGTTTAATCGCAACAAAGTATTACAAATCCATAAATTCCTGCATCTTGATTAATTATATGACAAAATGATATGAAATTGATATTCAAAGCGTAGACCAACCGCCCCATCTTTTGAAAGTGGGCCCTACAAGATGGTTATTATAATTACGGTCAAATGTATTATTCTAATACAAGAACACCGACAATTTCAAAAAGTATTATGTTCATTACGGGTTCGATTTTTTAATAAAGAAAAGTAAGAGATTTAATGTTTCTAGTTCTTTTCTAATTTGTTGTTATTTTCATAGAAATGATGGTTGATAATGAAAGTGAAAATGAAAACGATGATAATATCATTTTAATTTTTTGTAAAGAATAAGACAATCATTTTATTTGTTTTTTTTTTCTTCTCGTAATCTCACATTTTTCTAAAGATTATTCGTATCGTCAATCATTTTATTCTTACAAAAAAAAATTGTTGTCACTAAACGTTTTCGCGTAGTTATTTTTCAATCTCGGATGAATCAGAATTATTCCCGAGACTTCTTTTTCGCACCGCTATTGTCGTCTTTTTTTGTTATCATCGAACGATTCTTTTGTACGTATTGTCAAAGTTGCAGCACAATCGTTTGTTTGATTTTTTTCCAGTTATATCTTCTATTGACACAAATTCCAAGGTGATGTGGTTCAGACAATATGTATTTGATCATCTTTTCTCCAAATTTGGCATTTCGTGATCTTCACGCTCCAACTTGAAGGGAGATATTGAGATATATTTGATCTTAAAAAATATTATAAAATATATCGTATAATAGAGATCTTATCAAATTTTAAAAATATATATTTTAAAATATTTATTATTATGTCTACTTTACTTATTTAATTTAACATTCTCATCTATTTATATGTTATTTTGGTTATCAATAAAAACATCATTCCGTAAATTTCTACACCGACTAACTATTATACGCAAAATGGTATATGACCATATTTCCAAATTCATGTTTATTTCACATATCGAATTTTAAAAATTCTTGATCATTTATCATAAGTGATGTGTGGAAATTTAATTTTCGTAATCAAATTTGTTCTGCCGTGTATTCAATTTCCTCAATATATCCTCCGTTCTTTTAAATTTTGGATATCAATAACCTTTGATATTCCTTAAAAAAAATAGATTACTCTGAAATTTAATTCAACTATTACATCAGGGAATCTGAAATAGTTTCTTGATGCTGTAAGGACCGACCGCAAGAGAATTCGCTTCTCTTTCGCCATCCCAAAACAAAGTGGCGATCTGCTCATAAGTTTTTTCAGTGAAATGTATAGAATCCCAAAATACGTAATCATTAGGGTTTTCGCATAATTCGAATTCCTTCACCAATCGCTTTCCTCCGCAGCTGAATACTCCTCTATATTCCCCTGCTCCACAACATGCTCCCTCCCCTTCTTTAAACCCTAATCCGTGTTTTAAACCGCAAAAAAGAAAAAAAAAAAAGAGATTAAATTAAGTAAATAAATATGTTCACAAAATTAAGATGACCCACTTACCAAATCTCGAAGGATATCTCATTCTGAGTCCAAGGCTTGAGTTCATGTCCAAGGATGAAAATTTGAAGCCCTTGAGCTGTTCCTCCAGTTGAAAGAGAAGCTTCGACAGAGCTTTGTTGTGCATTGTTGCTAATGATGAAGCTTCTCCGATGCAAGAACCGTCCTTTTCCGGTTTAAGTACTCTCATAACCGGAAGACAACCCAAATCCGGCACATTCAGGACACCGAATTTCCTCCCTCCGATCTTATATATTTCCTGGTGAAAATTGGATACAAGAAGCCCTATATAATGCACAAGTGAATATTAATTATATATAGATGAAGGGTTAATTTGATCGGTTACTTACTCTAATGAATGCGGTTAAATTGCCCATAACCATACCGACATGTCGGGATTTGGATCTGGGAATTAGAGATAACCGGTTGGTCAAGAAAGGACTCAAGTAGTCATTGCTCCCGATGCTTACCAAATGGACCGCTCTTGAAATTCTCTTCTTGGCTTCCTCTTTACCATATCTTCTCCTCCACATTTTTTCTACTTTCTTGTAATGATCGAGTTGTGTTTTGAGACTTATCACCTAACAGATAAAGGACACAAGTATATGTCTTAGGACATTTAACCCATATGTATACATATAACAATAAATTTTTTTTTCGAACTCGTGACCACGTGGCTTTTAATTGTCCCATTTTACCACTTATTCTGCCCACCTTGAACCATATAATAGTAAGTTAAGATCTAATCAACAGAAATTGTTAAAGATATATATACTATTCATTTCTACTTAGAATTATATTTTAAATAATTTCTACTTGGATCGTAGTTTCTATTTCCAATCTGCAATGTGTAGCTTACTCACAGACTTTTATAGGTCCCAGTCCATTAATTATAAATAACTTATACATGGAATGCACTTGCAAACTATATAATAACTTGAAATAAACTATATATTATGAAATAACCCTATATAATAACTTGAAATAAAGAAAATCATCTTTAGCAGGTGGGACCAAGGAATGGTGATGAGTGGTGCATAATAACACATCCTAACATTGCCTCTAATCAAGCTCACTATAATCTAGCCACCATATTCGGGTCAAAGTCAAATCCCTATTTCCTTATAATTTTTTTTTAAAAAAAAAATATTCTTTTTCAGCATCTTTAGAGACTCTATGTATTACTATGGAATCATTAGAACGTTCACGCGCATATATATGGCGGTCCAATCTCTTTGCTCTATGAGAAATCAACCTTCCATGTGTGTGGATATATATACACAACAATAGAAACAAAACCAAATGAAATGTTTTCATCACAGACCAAATTAATCTCATAATCAAAATAAAGAATTAAATTTTGATTAGAACTTACCGATCCTTTGAATGTTTCGACAAGAGCCCCAGCCCCAGCAGAAGCAAAGTTCACTCCGTAGACGTTCTCTTTGCTGATTCCCGGTTTCAAGAACGGCGGGATTAGCGGCAACTTCGCATATTCGGCTTCATGGACACACACACACACACACACATATACATGTATATTCAATGTATGTATATCATGAGTAAATGTGGGTAAGTATTGGACGATATATATATATACATATTCAATGTATGTATATATCTCACCGATGAAGTCGGAAATGAGTCTCCCGTCAGAGAATCTCCCGGTGGGGAAACCGAAGAATGTCTCTCCATACGGCCGGAAATTGGCTTGGTCGAACGTCGTCGTGTTTATGTAATTGTTGTTTCCTGCGTCCAAGAACGAGTCTCCGAATATGAACAAGGCCGTGACATTGTCACCGTGATGTCGTTTCCTGTTTGGCCCCCGAGAAAATTTGGCTCCGGATTTTCTTGCTGAAACTCTGACAAAGAATAAAATGTTCAACAAGAAGAAGAAGTAGAAAAAGATGGATGCGAGGTTTCTCCTGAGCATCGCCATTGTTGACTTTGTCTACCTCCGGAATTAACACCCGCGAATATATACATAGAAATGTATGGAATGTGAATCGGTCGCGTATATAGTTGACTGGACTGGCAATGTATTTTAAAGAAAAAATATATGATGAGAATGACACTCAAAGAGATTCAACGTCGGATTGATTTGGAGAATCAAATTTTACGAATAGAATATGTTACGCACGCAACATACATGGCATATATTATGCATACACGTGAATCGGTTTATTTTATTTTTTAAAATTATGGTTTTAATTTGTTTGGTTTACAAATAGCCTGTTTGAATTATATTAACGAATATTCTGTACAAAGCATATTATTAATGCGATTTGCATTCATATATATATATATATATAACAAAAAAATATATACATCATGGAGGGACCATGTGAACAAGAAAATAGAAAGGAATGGAAAAAGAGTCCTTACCCTAATGGAGTATGAAAGTCACGAGATTATTCATGGAGATTCTTCATTTGAAATCTTCGATAGTGGTCGCAACAAAAACATTTTCATCTCTTGAGCTTTAATAGGAAAAAATAAATAAATCTTACTTTATAGTCCGGCTTACATTATGAGACATATATATAGAGATATGGGTTTAAGATATATCGACCATCAATTTTCCAAGGGTTGGTTTGGTGGCAATTTCACCTAACTTTTAAAGTCTCAAAAGAGATTTTATTATGGATATTCAATTCCCGCGCGTCATTCAAAAATATTATTGATGATGTCATTTAAAAATTTTAGTCTAACAACTGAATAGTTATTTCATAATTATTGGTAAAAATAGAGATTAATAATTTATTTCTTAGGTTAATTATTCCGTATAATCTTATGACATTTAAATGCCAAACTTATATCCTTTAAGATATGAGCGTGTGAGTTTACATTTGTTTTGGATAATTTAACGAATTAATAATAATAACAATGTTCCAACATAACTGAAAACCCAAATTAATTTGGACCTTGTATACATTATGGTCACTAATTATGTGTGATCTAATATGCAAATACAGAAAAATATATGAGTCAAATAATTATACAGATACCATGAAGTGTAATTTTTTAATTCTTTATTGTTGGATTTAGAAATTACACAAATCTATTACTATAAATAGTAGTAGTGTGGTCCCTAGACTAAACGTACTAAAGATATGATAACACTCATTTGTTGTCAGAGTAATATTTTTTACGTTTTATACTAAAAGACTTTCTATCTACACTGTCATTTGTCAACTCAAATAGATTAAGATATGTTCTAAATTCCAGAATAAGTTTTTGTGTGGTATACATGATAATTGGTCTAGATTAATATATTTCGTATTTTATAATATACTATTTCTGTAAAATACTAACACGTAATAATAATATTGGACATCTTCTGTTATATACAGCAGCTCAATTATCATGGAGTATCGCAACACGACAACGTATAAATTATAAATTATAAATTATTGAAGGGAAAATAAAAGGGGACAATATTATTATTACATCGTACGAAACAGAAGATGTCCAAAATAGTCCACCGAAAGATCACGAGAAAGTTAGCGATGCGCGATGTGTCCTAACAAGGCAAAGCGACCTCTCGAGCTCCTCTGTCCTTTTTCCGACACCAATTTCGATATTCGTAACCAAACCGGACAAAAAAAATATTAATAAATCGATTAAAAATAAAATAAATTATGAAATCTTATCCTGCGCAATCTCTCACACCCCTTCAGATTATGAACTCTCTCCTTCCAATAACCGGTTATGTTCCTCGTCCGGTTCGGTACTGTCTTTCAATTTTACCTTTGATAGATTTTATTAATAAAAAAAAATCATGGTGGTTATTGATTTATAGGGTTGGACAAAACTAACCGAACGGATATCTGATCAGACTCGATCTAAAAACTATAAATTGGGTATCTAAATATTTTACAAAAATTTAAAAAACCCTTAATATTTATTAAAGATTTCAAAACTAGGCTTAATTTTATTACCAAATTTAGATTCGATACCACAAAATTTGGAATACTCTGAAAACTTGATCACCCAAAAACCACGAGTACAAAATCGAATACCAAATCCTAATACCCATGATATGCAAATAGAAAATCAAATACTTTAAAATTCTAAGACAGCTAGAGTTTTTTGAATTTTAGAATCTAAAAACCAAAATAAAATCCAATCAAAATTTTATATATTTGTTTTTCCTGACAAAAACAGGAAATTCAAATCAAAATAAAAAATCATAAATCCATTTTTTCAGATTTTTATATTTTATAAAAAATTATGAAAATAATAAAAAAAAATCCAAAAGTCCACCATTCTAAGATCTCTAATTACTATAGCTAAACGGCGTGTCTTAAATCTCCAAGTTACCAACTCATTTTATTTCAAAACCTATGAAATTTGTGTATAAACCAAAATATCAATGTAGTACAATTTCCGAATTTCATGCCTAAATGGAATATGTGCACAAAAGAGATATTAAATAGAAACGGTCAAAAAAGAGCATACGGAAGTTTTTCAAACATTGATGATTAAAAAATAAAAAAAGTCTTGAGAGAAAGATGGTAAAATTTCGAAAGGAAGACACCTAAAAATACAACCTCTATTTACTTCATCAACCCCCTCATATATTATATCAGGATACATATAAAGAGGAGCATCTCCATGGAGACAGCTAAAGAGACAGAGATCACTTCCATGGCGGCTCATGGCTTATGCAATGCCTGAAAACAAAACCAGACCCAGCAGACAATATCAGTTCCGGTATTAACAAGAACGATGACACAAGGAAGAAAAGAGGACTTGAAACTCACTAACATGCAGCCTTATTTACACGACAAGGGTGAAAGGGAGATTGATCTGATCAGAAGATCCCTTCCAGCATTGAAGGGATCTCGTCGAAGGTCCAGAGGTCCATCGGGTTTGACCCGTCCTGAGCCATGGCATCATCTCCGTTGAGGAACGCTTCAAGTGAAGCCTCCCAGTTATTGTTGTCGAGGTAAGGTGCCTGAAAGGGAATTTGGTTACCCATTTCCATCATCAGCTCATCAGAGAGTGATTCATCAGTGTTTGAAACAGGGGTCACCTCCTGAGTAGTGGGCTTCAGCTTCTTGGCCGGGTTAGTGTCCTCCAAGAATGGAGCCGGGTCATTGACCAGCATCGAAGAAATTTCGGGGGTCTTGGGTCCTTCATCGTTCCACCCGAACTCAGAACAGTCGAAAGAGTTACTACCCTGGTCCGAACTGAAATACGGGAATGCAGCATTGAGTCCGTTGTCAAACGAGTTCAAGTTCACCTGAGGTTTCTCATCCACCATTCCCATATTATCGAAGCAGTCTTGTCCAAGATTGCCAAAGGCGTTCAAGTTCTGATCCATGTAGGGCTGGACCAGAGTTGGGTTTGGTTTGGCCACTGGCTTCTGAGGATAGGCCTTAGCGGGGCGGTTCTGACCGACACGAGGGGTTTCCTCGGGGAAATTCACCTTGGCTTTCTTGCCACGGATCCTGCGTGCCTCGTCATCGTAAGCTCTTGCGGCTTCTTCAGCAGTGTTGAAAGTCCCGAGCCAGACTCGGACACCTTTTCTCGGGTCACGGATCTCAGCAGCCCATTTGCCCCAAGGGCGTTGCCTGATGCCCCGATACTGGTTCTTTCTCTTCCTCGTTGCAGATTTCTCGGCTTGCCCGTTGAACTCCGGAGCTTTCTTGGCAGGGGCAAAACCTGTTTCAGGAGGAACATACAAAACGGTTTCAGAAGATATCAAACATGAACTAAACTGGAACCAAGATATCAATCAACGCACGCAGAACTGATCAATCCAGACAACAAAAGACAAACCTATGATAGTAGATAACATGGTCAAACCTATATAAGCAGCCAGCATCATGTCTACCTATAACATATCTAATAAGATTTTTTTTTCCAAAAAAAAACGACGAACATGCAAAGAACTACATATATTTTCAATCTACCCACATCAAATCCAAATCTAAGCATCTCTAAAAAGGTTTTTTCCCCATAAAAAACGATGAACATGAAAAGAACTACATAGATCTTCAATCTACCTATAACAAAATCCAGAAAAGAAGGATACTTTCTATTATCCAGAAATCCTAACAAGTAAAGCCGATCATTTTTTCAACAGTGATGTATTTATACCTTTCTTCTTCCTTTCTTTCTTTTTGGTTGATCAATTCCACACAAAACGATCAATTAAGGAATCTTTTCTCAGGAAGTAAAAAGGATAATCACAAACGATATTTCTCAGGAGATTAAAAAAGACACAGAAACCCATAGCAGAAAGCTACCAAATTCAGTAAGAGATTAACAAAAGTCTTCACCTTCACCCCAGAAATGCCAAAAAATACACACACATATCACAAAAATGAAGAAAAGATGCAGATAAGATCACATGAAAGACAAAATCACACACACAACTACTCAAATCACAGTCCAATTTCTACCCGACAAGCTTCCCAAGCTCTCGAAGAAAACTGGACCCATTTACACTGAAAACCCCAAAATTTACCGTCGGATTCGGCGGCGGCAGGTTTTGGAGAAGTGGCGAAGACAGGGGGTTTCACATCGGCGAAGACATCATCGGCCTCGAAATCATCCTCGAAATCTACGGAGGAATCATTCTTGAAGCCCTGAAAATCAGCCTCGAACTCATCGTCGAGATCGAAGAAAGCAGACCGCTTCCTCGCGCTCTTCTTCGCGTTCTTCTTCAGATCCGCCCAGATATTGTCGTTTGCACCGCGCCGGGATCTCGCCGGCGGTATGAAATCGGAGATTATAGCTCCTCCACACATGTCGGCTCACGAAAAGAGGGTGTAAATTTCACAAACGGAATCTTAGCGGCGAAATTGAAAAGTACTTTTGGTTTCTTCCCTGACGGAGTCATCAGAAGATTAGAAGAAAAGGTTCATACTTTTATAGAGCAGATGGAGAGAGAATCATACATGTTTTTCCAGGTTGTTATTTTACTATTTTACCCTTTTCGTTGTGCAGTTTTACGGTTGTGTTAAGATGCATTTATTTAATTTATGGCAAGAGATATCTGTAAGAAAATAGATTGAGCAAAAAAGGTATTTAGTTTCACTACAACATTCGATGAAGTTATTATACATATACTTATTTCATCTAGATTTTTTTCTTTTTATAGTCATAGACTTGAGATTTACAACAGCAGTTTATAGATGAACATTAGATATATATTTCATATGGGTCTAAATTCTATTGGTCTATCTGATGTTTTGATAGGTAATAAAATTTCCTCAAAAAATTATCAGAATCCGAATGCAAGATTACATACCATATATATAACACGCATACATAATCATGATTAGGGTTGTTGAGGGGCAAAATGGTAAATGTGCGACAAATGTGAAGGGTAAAATAGAGAAAGATTCTTGGGCAGTCCTGAAATATTTGAGGCATACTACAAAAGATGGTCAAAGTATATAACATGGGAGGGTAAAAAAAGGAGGCGGTGAAAAATCGTAGGTGCATGCATCGTGCCAAAAATATTAATTATATATATATATGCAAAAACTGAAAAACGACAAATTTGTAAGGGAGATATTTTAATCTTTTATTTTAGATTAAAGTATAAACTAAGTTTTACTTTAAAATATCATATGACTATTTCGATGAAAAACCATTTTCCTAATTATATCACTTGATTTTTATTAAATTAAAAAATTAAATATATAAAAAGTTATTACATCATTATTTAGATAAAATACCTTTTTAATGAGATCCACCACGCTATTTTCTATGTTTTGCTTAAGTAATTTTGTTTTATATGTTTTCGTGTATTTAGTCGCAAGAGATAGAGTTTCACGCGGGCCGTTGGATTGATTAGGTTGTTAAATTTGGGAAAAAATTACAAATTGTAATATTAAAATATTGTGTAGAAATATATCTAAACATAAGTTTATTATATAGGAATTGAAGTTACACATAGCATAAAATTGCAATACATAAGCAAATTTAAAATAAATGTTTCCTATAAATAATCACATCGTAAACAAAGATTTCAAAAATTGCAATACAGAAAAAAAAATCGAGTACGTCACAAAAACTTATCGGGCGATTTTTTTTTGTGTAACCATTAAATATATAAAAGTGAAAACCCAATAAATTTCGATGAATAAATTCTAAGTTTTTTTTTTATAAACTTGTCCGCACCCATACAGAAAAACAAGATAATAGAATAGATAACTATAAGGATTATTTTATCAAAAAAAACTATAAGGATTAAAATTGTCCCTTTTCGACGGTTTCGTGGAGTGTCTATTTGATAAATTGCTTACATATTCCGCATCTTATTTCCACATATATTCGTTCCAATTTTTCACCACAATTTATTAAATTTTAACGTTATATGCCAATACTAATTGAATGTATTTTATTTTTACTAATTTAAATAATATACTTATTTTATTTAAAAATCAAATTAAAAATGTATTCTTATTTAAATAATTAAAACAATAGTGTATTGAATTTTGCAACAACAAAAAAAAGCACGAACGTGGAGATGATAATTCCACTTGAAATTTATTTAAACGATAATATCGAGATGGACAAAAAAAGGGAGTGAGTGTGGAGTACACGCGCTTCCGAACAAGTTGAGCAAGTGGGAGTTTTCAGACAAGATCTGCGCTGTTCGAGGCAGAGTTGTACACGTAGGGCTTCACATCAAGTTGGTGGTGACCCACTTCGCCATAATCCTACTAATTTAATTATCATTTATTTTCTTTAATCCTTTTTTGTTTTTACTTTAAACCAAATGTTCGGTCACATTATTTATTAATTCTCAAACGCTAAACACTTGGACCGCCCTATATCGGTTGCATCGAATTACACGTCTTCTCAAAAATATCTTATCAAAGCATATCATATATACACCAGTTCTTGAAAATTTTCATTAAAATACAATCAATATGATTTAACTAAAAATAAAAGAAATAAAAAAACAGAAAAATCACAAAACAGGGACAATAGAAACCAGACCAAAATTAATCAAATAAAATCGGACCATATATTTTCAAATATACTTAATCGACCATTTATACTAGATAATCTCGATTGTATTACGCCCTAATATAGGGTATTATCTCTACTGTTCAAAAAATGCAATGATCTTACCCGTGATATAATAATATCTATGCGATAATATATATTCGGATGACGACTCGTATGTCTAATAATCAGATACAGATCACAATGAGTTATATATATAATGTATGTATGTATGTATGTATGTATGTATGTATGTATGTATGTACATGTAGAGATCAAGTTGGGGAATGCGAAGACAGTTGAATAAAAGTGGTAGGGTCACTTTCTTTGGATCTATCGAGACACGATACTGGATTGTAGATGAGGTCAAGTAGCAGACGATGATGAAACTCCCGAAAGCTACGGATGGGTGCTTCAATTATTTGTTTGAAGAATTAAATAAACCAAACCATAATATATATTTATATATATAATAAAAACAAAAATGAAATGGGAAATTTTGTTTTTTTTTTTAAAAACAAATTACGGAAAGGACAAAGATGCATAAATTGACATTTGATGGTTAGGTGCCATGCATTTATTATTGTTGGCTTAAACTAGAAAAAAGCTCCTCGTATTTTTTCAAACCTCAAATGTAAAACTTTGATTTTAACATTAAATCATGTTGTCTACCACTAATAGCAGTAACTCATATTATAAGATTCATATATGCATTGCACGTATATACGACATTTTTTTAAAATAATTTTATCGTTCTTTTTTTTTTTGTAATTTAAAGAATCGTTGTTGTATCTTTTTTTTTTTTGTACGCGGTTGTGGTTATGTATTGAAATCATTCATGAAATGAGATAACGAGTCATAATTCTCCTTCTATTGGATTTAAAGATACTATTAATTTTGCATCATAACAATTAAAACAAAATTGCGTTTGGACTATTTCTTGGGTGAAACCATAAATAAATATTCCCATTTGATTTGGTCACACGAGACAACAATACTAACATGTAAATGTACGTATATGTCATGTATTCACATTTGCGAATGTTTATGGTACAAACTTCCGTAAAATGTATATTTATTTAGATTAGATTTATTTCAGAAATTTTTTGGAAAAAATTATATCTATTGGATTTTTTTTATTGAATTGTGATTCAATAGTATTTCTATATTAGTCTGGATTTTATGAAAAAATTAATTTTTTTTTAAAAAAGAAAGTGTTTCAATTGGGATTTGATGCAGATTCAGTTAATTTAATCTAAGATATCATACCAAACCATTTTGAAATCAGACTTGGATACCCAAAACAAAGTAGTAACCCTAATATATACTTTAAATAAAGTTGTGTAAAATATATCGGTATTTTCTCCTCCACAAATTTGTTGAACAAAAGGAAGCGTTTTGGGCTAAATAACACAGGCCCATTAATAGCCCATTAATACAAACAAGAAACTTCTGTTGGGCCCAATTACATCAATCCACTGGCAAATAGATAAACCAAAATAAGATTATATTTTCTGCAAAAGGGCATTATGCTTCTTACAAGCAAAAAGATACATTTATATTACAAAAGCATCTCATTGAAACTGCTCAATACAAAGACACTAGACATATTTTTTTCCTTTTTTCATTTATATAATTCGGGAAAAAAGAAAAACATAAAATATGGTCACAGAGGTTGCTGGAGAGTGACCACCAAGGGACTGGTCACATTCCTCTTGCCGTCCGACCAAACAATGTAACCAGTGTTCACACTTGTCCCTCCCGGCGACAGCTTCACCGCCGTCGCCTGAACCCTAACCAGAAAGCTCAGTTTCTGTCCGATCCGTCTAAACGATAGCCTCTCCGGCTCCACTGTCACCGATATCCCACTCGGCGGCCTAACCCTAACCTTGTACACCGAACCCGAATCCCCAACATTCGTCACCGTCCTAATGAAATGCGTCGACATTTTTCCGTCCCCGAACTGCTGAAACACGACGGATAGCGAGGGATAGTTCAAGTTTCCGACATGACCCGCCCGTTTCGCCCCCTCGCAATCAGCCTTGCGTCTCGCTATTGTCACAATGTTAGACCCCGTGTAATTCGAATTGCATAGGAAGTTCACGTAGTCATAGGGCGTGAGGTCGTAGACAAGTCCCGGGTCCATAGCTTTGGTCGGGTGGACGTGACCCGACCCGAAATCCATCACCGTCGAGACATTGCCTGTCGACTCCTCCAGCATTGGTTCGCCCCGATTGTCGACGGTGTAAGCAGTTGTCATCAATGCCGATCGTATCGCCGCGGGGCTCCAATCCGGATGCGCTGCCTTCAGCAATGCTGCCAGACCCGACACGTGCGGACAGGCCATCGAGGTTCCCGACAGGATGTTGAACTCGGTCCTTCTTTTGTCCGACGGAACGCCCGAGGGACCGATCTTGTCCGGCCATGCGGCAAGGATGTTCAATCCAGGCGCGATCACGTCCGGTTTGAGAATCTCTGGTGACTCAGGGTTCGGGCCGCGAGCCGAGAACGATGCCACCACTGGAGCCGGTCGGACGCCGAGACGGGTCCCTTTGAAAACGATAGTGGCCGTTGGTTCAGACGAAGAACCAGGCTTGCCCGAACCCGAGATGTACTTCCTGATCTCGTCGCCACCGGACGAACCAACGGCAGTCGCCGGCAACACGTGGCAGTCGGCGACCAAGCCCTCGCCGTCGAACACGCCGTTCGCCAGGATCATTCCGATGCCGCCAGCTTTCCTCACGACCTCCCCTTTGGTGGCTCTCGAGTTGATTCCTCTGTCGCACAAAACTATCTTCCCCTTCACCATATTCGGATCCAGAGAACCTTCGAGACACAGAGACGAAGAATACCCATCGCCGCCGAGGAGGCTACCGCCGTAGATAACCGCGTACATCCGACCCGGGTCCAGACCCGGTCCGCCATATAAGCTGACGCCGGGAACCACCTTCCCGTTGCCGAGCTTGACGTCTGCCGGAAAATCCCGGTCTATGGTTCCAGCCCCGACGGTGGTCATCCAAGGAGCCACGTTTGTCACCGTCATGCCGCCGGGCCCGCCGTTTCCGGCGGAGGCGGAGACGAAGATCCCTCGGTCGATGGCTCCGAAGGCTCCAATGGCGATGGCATCGAGGTAGTACGGAACAACGACGCCGCCGACAGAAAGGGACACGACGTCGACGCCGTCGGCGACTGCAGCGTCGAAAGCGGCGAGGATGTCGGAATCGTAGCAGCCGGAGTTCCAGCATACCTTGTAAGCAGCGAGCCGGGCCTTCGGGGCCATGCCCGCCGCAACGCCTCGGGCGTAGCCGAGGGTCGATGCCGGGAAAACGTACCTACCGGCGGCAATGGAGGCGGTGTGGGTCCCATGCCCGTCGGAGTCGCGCGGCGAGCGATACTCCGTGGTTTCGTTCATCTTCCCGTTCGTGGCCTCATACCCACCACAGAAGTACCTCGCTCCGACGAGTTTCCGATTGCACACAGTCGCCGGAAAATCATCGGAGACAAAGCATTGGCCTTTCCACTTACTGGGCACCGGGCCCAGAGCCTTGTCGTTGAAGCTGGGTCTCTCGGGCCAAATCCCAGTGTCGATAACTCCAATGACGAGATCCGACCCGAAATCGGATTCCTTTAGGAGACCGGCCTTGTCGGTGGTAGTGAGGCCGAGGAACTCCGGCGAGCGCGTGGTGTGCAAGCGCCGGACTTGTTCGGGGATGATGGAGATGACATGGGGAAGGTCCATGAGCTGTTGGGCATCTTCGGCGGAGAGCCTGGCGGAGAAGCCATGGAAGACGGTGTCGTAGGTGTGGATGACGGTCCTGAGGGCGGGGACGGCTGCGGAGAACCGCGGAGGACGGAGGGAGGCGAGGGAGGAGTCGTACCAGTGACGGTGGGTGGGGAAAATGGAGGGTTTGGCTTCGTGGTCGACACGCACGATGTAAGTTAAGTGCTTTTGGTCGTTCAACGAGGAAGAAGATGAACACGAGAAAAGGGTAACGAGAAAGAAGAAGAGGAAGGAAGAGGAAGAAGAAGATCGATCCATTCACAGTGAAGAATTAGGGTTTTTTTGGGGATTTTGATTTTGTGAATTAGTGGGTGGAGGAAGAAGAAGGAGACGAGGAAGAAGAAGAGAGTTGTGGGTGCTGAGAGAGCAAAGCTGTGGCAGTGAGTGAGCTGTGAAGTGTCCCCTTTTCCCTTTAATTACAAAACAGTCCTTATACTTTTCACTTATATGATTAGTGGGCATAGAAAATGAAATGAGAGTCCAAGTGTTTTGTTTTGTGTGCATATATAATACATATGCATAGCTCATTGTTTTTTTTTCTCATGATATAATTTATCTCCACTCATTATATCCCTATTTTTTCAATTTAAACAGCCATATATAATTAATGTGTTTGCTATAACATAAATCTGCTTCACAATTAATACATTTTTAAAGTTTGGGGTATTTGTCATGAAATCTGGGAAATACAGGGCATCTGCGTCATCACCTGTTTTTCTATATTAAAGTAAACAGGGGGTGTTTTTGTCATGTTTCACCAGAGAGGTAACGGAGCCGTGTGGGTCCCGTTTCTTTAAGACACACGTGTGCCATGCCACTCGTGTAGAATTAATCATGCACATTAGAGCTAAATCATAAAATCAAAATCTTTAAACGTGTTTCAAATTATGTACGCGTTGAATATTAAATGATTATCACGTAAAAGTTCATTAGCAGCTTAATAGTATTATTCCACATAATCTTAATTAGTGATTCCGATTCAGTTCAAGTGAAACTAGTCGGTGACTTTTAGATTTGTGGGTGCTTTATTTGTAATTCAATGAAATTTCTGGGGCTTGACTGCAATTTTCGTGTTAGCTGTGAGTAGGGAGTGACGTAAGCATACGGGTCCAATTCAGTAGTAGGACACGTGTGAGGGGCCACTCTTGTAAATTCGCATTATTGGATATTTGATCAGATAATGTGGATCCCAAATCATTCATGTTTCCGGGAAAACATATAATTCTATTGTTCGTAGACGTGAATTGAACAACTGCGAAATATATAATATATAATGCAAATTTAAGTGATTGATTGGGTATTATAAATATATTTGTTTTAAATTATTAGATGAATATTTATTATGATTGTGTTATTAAAACCATATGATTTTATAAATAGTTATATATTTCAGATGTAATTATTTATGTATTGCAAGACTTGAAAATTTTCGATTTACTGAATAACATATTTGTGTCGGAGTTAAGATTTTGTCAATTGCAAAGCTTAGGTTATATTTTATTAGTCTTCTACTTTTATGACAAGATGCCATGTATGTCATATGTGTGTGTGGACTCGTGGGAAAACTAGCCGAGTTGTCACATTTTTGTATTATTATTATTATTATTATTATTATTATTATTATTATTATTATTATTATTATTATTATTATTATGTGTGTGGGGAATAGTTTTCATTTTTGTTACAATTCTAAATTTCTAATAAAAGGAAAAGCAAATGGTCACATGACTTTGTTCTTTAGTGCTCCTTTTTCCGATTCTCGAGAATTTACCACTATACTATATTATTATATTTGAATAATCAAATGAATTTTCGGATTAAATGGTAACAAAAGCATCGGCGGTTGTTCGTACGGAGAAAAATAGGTTCCCGGCAATTTTCTCTTTTGACGGTGAAGAATCGAAACTCACAACGAAAATGGAAAAAAAAAAAGAATTCGAGAATTGCAAATGTAATTATAGAATTTATGTTAAAACAAAAAAAAAACTAAATCCGATTAAAATTCAAATTAAATTAAAATCCGAAGTAAAACCTGATAAACATAATTTTTTAAAACGAAAAAATATACATGAAAAGATAATAATCAAGTGTAATTGGAGCGGAGAACACACATTAATTGTTAGTACTCGCATCATTTGTTGAAACTTATCTGACAATGTGTATAATAGAGTATTATAATATATAGTTCTTGCTAAATAGATATTTTAAAAAACTTGGAAAACGAATTAAAAGGAGTGGGACTTATGGACTCTCATGCAATTATTAATGGTGGGCTCATTATGAAAATGGAAAAAGCTTAAAAGGATGGAACCAATGCGGATGGGGTCTACGAAGACTTCTTTATGTTTGAATCAAAACATCCATTTTCAAAACCCTTTTGTGCAAATGTTCGTCTTTATCCCAACTTTATTTAGTTTGAATATACTTTTTTGAAAGAAATTAACTTTATTTAATCACTAAGTAAACAAAAAAATTAATTAATTAATACGTTTAAGACATTAATACTTAATCAATAGTCGAATGCATGTAGTGTGTTATAACTATATAATAGAAAGATAATGGAGCTATAAACTTTTTTGTGTATAAGTAATTAATTCTATAATGTATGTGATCGTATGTGGGTGTTTATATATATAATCAATAATCACATGCATTTGGACGTTTGTTGTGATTTTGTCCAAATTATCAATGATGTAATAATATATGTGATCATATGTGGGTGTTTATATATATATGGATAGATCTAATTTAATATTGATTTTATGTGTTCGTTTCAATAAACTAAATTATTGTCCTCTGTTTTTTTTTCATTATTATTATTATCATCTCAATATTATCAATGTCACCAATAATATATATACATATATATACATATACATATATATATATATCGTTCTCTAGTGCCGCTAAAACAGACAAAGAGGGTCTTTTAAATGTACTACTACAGATTATACATGACATCGTCCGAGTGAAAATAGAGAAAAATATATATATGATCAAAGCTACAAAAAAATACACGATTATATATATATATATATAATTATAAAATTGATTAGGCTTAGTCAAGAGGACTGGTTCAAAGGGACTATATATATAACTTTGGAACGTTGCGGCGATGTCGCCGAAGATCTTCCAAAAGAATCTGAGTATCGGTTTTCCCGGCGCCGGAGTTGTTGCAGTTCCGGCAAGAAGCCGACATTCTATTAGTAGAAACCTCGAATTCATCTCTTTCATCCATCAAAATCTGCCAGCTCCGACATTCAACGCTGCAGAACCCAACATCTCCCCTGTGCCCATTCGTTCATTCATTCACACATCATACAAAACATTATCCACACCACTTCAGTTTTCACCAACCACTTCAACTACATATAGTACATGTATATACACACACACGTACATACACACACATATATAATATACGCAAACTCAAAAACCCATCTCCGGCTTCCAGGTCACAAACACGAAAATCTCATGATGGAACTCGACTTGTTTGAATGCAGAACAAGTGTGTGATTAAATTGATCATACTATGTATACAACCCAGATGAAAATAACGAGTACTCACATCGTTTATTCATGGTTATAGATATATACAAGAGAGATGCACGTATATCGATCTCAATATATATATATATATGTGCAGTACCTGTACATGTATACGTCCATGTCTTGTCGGAGCATGCTCTTGCATAGATGGCATCTCTTGAGGTAACAAAACTCCGAGAAAGTTCGAACCGATCGGTTCGATTTCACGGAGGGTTTGATCACTACGTTTTCGGGCTTCTCTTTGGGAGTAGCTATCAAGAGCTGCAACCCGACATAGTCCGATGGATTTCGCCTTACGACCAATCCCTCTTTTTTAACTTTAAGGCTCGAGCTATGAAGCATTTCGTTTGTACGAAGAGAAGAGGGGGGAGAAGGAGGAGGGGAGGGGAGGGAGTGATGAAACGGAAGCGAAGAAGAGAATATGAGAAGGGAAATTCAGGGCACTGTTGATTTGGTGACGTGTATATATGTCTCGATTAAAATGTGGGCATTAACTATTTTTGTCTTTCTCCCTCTTCCGCATTAACCGACTGTTTTTTTTTTCCATCTTTTTTGTCGGAAATTTATGTCAGTATATATTACTATTTTTTTTTAAATGAATGTTATTACAGTATATGCCAAACATTTTTGACCGGGTTTATACGAGAGGTGCATGCCCAAACCTTTTTCACGTGGACGTAGAAAGGTAAGGTCCAGATGCAAGTGTTATTTTTTGTTGTTGGTAAAAGGAATTATACATAATATATATATATATATATATATATATATATATATGAAGATAACAAAAGCCGTTTTACATATATTTCACGATATGTCATGTTTCTATTACGGAAAAACCATATAAAAAAGCAATAGAACACCTAAAAAAGCCTTATGCATAAGCAGAAGCATAAGCAAGATCTCATGTGTCAGTCCAAAATGTAAATATAAGAAAAGCTTGGATGAGTGGTCATCACTCACGGCTACTGATGCACATTCAGAGAGATTGGTGAAGGACAGAGTGAAGTGCTATGAGGAGGTGCTTGGTCCCGAGCCGATCTTTCAACCACGACCTTTGAAGGGATACGGAACGAGAATGAATTAAAGAACGATGAATCGAAAGGAACAGTAAGGTACCATTCATGTTTGATTACATGGCTACTTTCATCAATCAATACAATAAGCACCATGTCTACCTCCACGTCTATTTTTATAAGCTAAATCGACCAAAAGCAGAAACAACAACTCACCTTGCAAGATACTTCCCCAAATTTCTCGGCACGTTCAAGCAAGCGGGGACTTTGCTGAGTCGAAGAAGGGGATCGAGGTCGAGGTCACATCCCGCCCGTTGTCAAGGAGATCGAGGTCGTGCCCCGTGACAGAAAGATAAACACAAGAACCATCATAGAATTCGACAGCCGACATCATACATATATTAGGAATCTAGGATCTATCTCTGCCAAATCAAGTACATATTTTACGAAAGAAGGAAATACCTGATAAGGTTTCTGTAACAGAAAACCTAGAAGAGAACAAGAACAAGAACCGATATGTTGTATTGATTTCCAGAAAACCAAATACAACCCCAAGAAGTTGATTATTGTGAGCTTCTCTCTCACCCCTCTCCTTACACATTCAAATCAGCAAAAGCATAAACCCTAATACCCAATCTGCAAATCTAATATAAGCTACCCACAACAAACTTGCTGAGTACCCACATATAAAATGTGTTGATACGATGAACCTAGTCCAACATCCCTCACATAACCGAACCTCCATCAATTGCTCCACCGTCTGCAAATCTTCTTCCCCTGTTACTCTTGTTTCCTTTATGCACATGACCGTGATTTTGGCTCCTCTTGATATCCTATCACTACCCGATTGGAAAAACGGACATTACACAACCAGCAAAAAGCCTATGAAGCATAGTATCACAGAAGAACAAAAGCACATTGATAAAACAAGGAAAGCTGCATCATTTCTGTCTCATCATACCCTCTAAAGTTGCTACAGAGATAGTTCCAGTGAAGAAAAGCACAAACAATGCTAAAATCACTTTGACAAAGAATGCAGACAAAACCTACAAGCTCTAATTCCAGGAACACGCAATTCATCATACCAATGAGTGGATCCATCATCACTGACCAATCCACAAAAACCAGAAACGACTACAACTATGGCTAAGTTCCTACACATTAACTCATCAAAAGTCGAGACTTTTCTTATCCATTTGCTCCGCCGAATTCGAAATCCAACATCCGCAATCTCGGGTATTTGATTGCATTCCATTCAGATTCGAACAAACAATTACCGCAATAGACTCGTCTTTTCATACACATACGACGAAAAGGGCGCTTAGTTTCAAGGTATCAGAAGATTTCTTCACCTCGATTTCGGGTTCCACACTTGCCCTAATCACCACCGCGGCCAAATCGGGCTGTTTCCTCCAACTGTTAGGCTCCTCAATCACGCTGAATGAATTTCCGGCGCCGACAACGGGAGAGACAAGGCGGTCGGTCGTGGATTGTGTCCGAAAGCGGCCTGAGCCTGCGAGAGCCAATCGCTGGTGACGACGACGACGACTCCATCCATGGTGCGCCGCACGAGTCTGATACTACCCTCTGCGTCAACTTTCCATTCTTTTACATATTACCAAGTAGTTTTATATAATTACAAATTATTCCCATTACTAAATTAATTTCAATTAAACCCCCAAAGACTGAATTATCATGGATTTTCACTTCGCCGCCAAAAAAAATTATCAGCTAATTTACAGCTCCAAAAGCTCACCAATTTATCACCTATATATATGTATACTAATATACATATATATATATAGACGTATGGTTGCATGTTACAATATACATTTGATAAGATTGTATGCTATAACAAGGGCCATTATGAAAGAGTGATCGATTTGTGGTTCCACGTCCATGGTCAAGACATCTTCCCCGAGATCCAAGCCCTTTGCCGACTGTTTTCTTCTCACCTCTGCGATCATTCTTCCGAATTTGTCCTCGACTCTCAAAACGGACCCATTGTTGTTCATAATCCGGTATCTGCACGGCTCATTTCTACGTAGTCCCGCCGTAATTCTGCATGTCGATGATGATGATGATGAGATCCTCAAGTTCTTTCTCATTCGGAAATCTAGTTTTGTTGGTTCTATTTTCGGAGATCTGTATCCTTCCCATGATTTGAATAACCCGAATCTCTGTGAACAAAATAAAAGATGATAAGGAATTAATTTAACATCGCAATTATTAGGGGTAGACATTCATAAATCGAATAGATTCAAACTTTCTCGAACCGAATTCAATATAAAATTATAGGGTATACTTAAAAAAATATATTAAAATAAATGTAAAACCGAAATCTATTGGAAAATATATTGAATATTTTATCAATAATAATCGACGGATTCTGATATAAAACCAAATGGATTCAATTTTTTTTAAAATGAAAAAATGGAGAACGAAATCGAAATGGGACCTTAGTGATAATGAAATTATAATAATAATAATAATAATAATAATAATAATAATACATACATACATACATACATACATACATACATACATACATACATACATACATACATACATACATACGGTAATGAAGTAATTAGTAAGTTCGTACCTTTTTACGTAGAGTGAACAAGACTTTGCCGGACAAATCCATGAGATAAACTTCGGAGCAGCTCTTGCAATCGTAATTATCGACTCTATATATTATGTTCCCTTTCGCATCAAAGACGGTGCATCCTCTTCCATTGAACACGAGCGATCTCATCCATATCGTGAAACTCTCTCGCTCCCTCGTCACGTGACTGTCTTCTTCTCCGGCTCCCGCCACCGCCGCCGCCGACAACTGAGGATGAACCTTCGCCATTTCCTCCGGACAAATCTGGTTCTGCGATGAAGCTTTGGTCCGATGATCGTGACACGGCTTATATATTTGCATATAACGTATGAAAAAGCTTTCGGACGAAGAGATATCACATATGATTGGTCTCTGTGCGGAAGTCTGAAGATGGGTTTTTATATGGAAATGTTTTTTTCGGCTATCGTTGTGATTATTTTTAATTCGTATTAATAATTAATTGAGGGTTATTATATAAGTTTAAGGGGTGTTCTTATCTCGTTGATCCACGTGTTTATTGCATTATGGAGCTAGGTCTCATTACATGGGCGATCCGATCTTTTATTATAAGCCCTAGCAAAAGTGCTATTCATTATTATTTTTAAGCATAAATCATGATATTACATCCCTATGAATTTGACTTGAGAAACGATTTGTTATCTCTACGGATTTGTACGAATTAAAACTATTTATTTTATATTATTTTTATATATTCCTGCCTACACATGTTTAATTTTGGAAAATTAATTATTAGGGTGTAAAATGGGCGGGCCGACCCGGGTTCAATTCAGGCCTAGAATTTTTCGGCCTGCCCATTTATTTTTCTGACCTAGAATCGATGGTCTAGAGTCCAGTCCTATAGGATTTCGGATGGATTCGGGCCGGACTTCGGGTTTATAATCAAATAAAAATATATTTTTTCTATGATGATGATGATGATGATGATGATGATGATGATGATGATGATGATGATGATGATGATGATGATGATGATGATGATGATGATAATAATAATAACAATAATAATAACAATAATAATAATAATAATAATAATAATAATAATAATAATAATGTGAAACATTAAAAAAAAGTAAACATAGTATACAAAAACATTATATGATGTAATTAATTTGAAACCAGTAGAAAAAGAATCAATATGTTCATATGCAAACGAAGGTTTAAAAATATATATATTTAAAAGTTTTTACACTTTCAAAAATATAAATTGATATATATATATATATATATATATATATGATGTAATATGATTACAAAAATAAAAGCTTCTGTCATTTTTAAAATTGTTAATTGGAAGCAAGATAAAACTTCGAAAAAAAAAAAAGAGACACACATATATATATATATATATATATATATATATATATATATATATATATTGTTAGGAAGGAAGAGAAGTTGCTCGCAAGTTTCCAATTTTATATTCCTCGTGCATATGTCATCGAAATACGTACTAATTTAAAATATATCACGAAATGCTCATAATTGGTAGTAGTATTATTATTATGTAATAGAAATTATTATTATTGTTCCGTACATGGGAGCATATATGCGTGTTTAATCCGAGAAAGCAAGATTAAAATGATCTAACAAATCTTTGATTAATGAACATTTGAATAATATAAAACACCTTGGATTTTCGGAATAAAATCATAATATCCTAAAAAAAACAAATTCAGGAAAATATGAAATTGGTAGGTATCTTTGTCCGTGTTAGGGAAGTGGAGTTGAAGTCGAATGCTTCTGTCAGAAATCACATCCAGGTTTTAGGTATTAGGCGGATAAGCGTCAGACATCATTACACTTTTGTCTCTTCTAATTTGTTTTAATTTCGTGTTTTCCCCCTCTAATCTAATTGTGATTATCGTGTTATAGTTTAGTAATTATGTGCGAAGAAGTCCAATAAAAAATGTCTTACTTTTTTTTAGCAAAAATAAAATAATTTATGCTCTTCGGGGAGCCCAAAAAATGAATGTGATTTTGTGGTTGTAGAAAAATAATATAGTGACATGATTATTTGGTTTGGATATTTAATATTGAAATAAAATGAATAATATCTAAATATGTTTGAATTAATTGGATATATTATTTTTAATCGAATTTAGTTGAAATACAACAATAACCGATTAAACGAATGAAAAAAAATCTTTTTTTTTACAAAATTGAATAAAGAATCTGAAATCAAATCAAAGTTTTAATATAAAAAATTGGAAAAATATATTTTTAAAATCCAAACCGAACCAAACCTATTAATAAAAAACTAAACCGTTCTTTTTTTAATATAATAATATTTCTGAATTAATTGGTCCAAAATTAATTTTAGAAATCTTGAAAATGAATTTAAACAGCAAGTTGGAGAATAATATTTGATCTCGCAGATTGATATTCTAGAAGTATTATCACACAACAATTATTTTAGAAAATTGTCACAATTTTATCATCATTTTCACAATGATATTTTAACCTTTATTTTAATTTCTAGAGTATACTTTTTTTAATAAAAATATTCGGTTTCTGTCAATTACCGTAGAGATTTTATCATGGCACTACAATTGGTTTTCTTTGTAACAACATCCTTATACTATATTTTAAAGTGTTTGTTGTCATATGAATATTGTCAAGATTAATGTGCAACTCTTTTCTTTTAATAGTTTCTATAATTAATCATCAAAACATTTCAACAATACTAAACATGGAAATTATCATTATATACACATCTGAATCTCGAATTTATTAGAATATAAATTCTTTTATCTCGAATTAGTTCTATTTAATTTGTATTAGAATATGAATACTTGTCTTCAACAACCGCCTAAATTACAAATTTATATGTTTACAAAATATTTTATCTAAACTGAAAAGCTACACAAATAAATTGTGAAAACCTGATCCGAGAAAAGGGTTTGGTGGAAATAGGTTTTATAATATTTAATTATTATGAATCTCGTACCTTTTTATGCAATAACTATGAATCAGTTTTACGTTGAATTTAAAGGATCAAACACTTATCTTTATAACGTTGTTCATCGTAATATGATATTTGTAATAGAATCATAAATTCATATGATATTTGCATCGAATTCGTAAAATTCGTATATCCATAATTTTTGTTTGGTTTCAATTTGGCATTTAATTAATTAGGTTGAAAAATTCGGTTAATTTGTCTACATCTCTTTGCACTTTTACCCAATATACTACACGCATTATCCTTTTATATTTCTTAAGTTCATCGACTTTGCTAAACAATACAAAAAGGGCACCATTTGACGTATTCAATGTCGCAATAAAGAGTTATATCTATATCGATCGGGTCCATCATATTTTATATTACATGTACAATATTGACATACATCTATATATATATATATATATATTTAATTGTAACTTTTGTCCCTCCGATTGCATCATCTTACTACAAAACCAAGTTAGATGACACACTCTTGTTCTTTTGACGTGAGCCCTTTTGTGTCCCTTTTTGACAAGATAAGTATCGACTATATATATATATATATATGATATACCGACATAAAGACAAAAACTTTATTAATTATGTTACATTAATTATAATCAAGTGTGCTAATTACTTAAATTGTAATGGTAGGTATCCTAATCACGCTTTTCAGGAAAATTTACGTTCTAGTTTTATTGTGGCAAAAGGCCAACTAGTTCCGACCTTTCATGTTCTATATGAACAATTTGGGCTTAGATTAAACGTTGTTTAAAAGATTGACTCCGATGATTAATAAATTTATAAAAATGCTATTATAGAGAGCGTGGCCATTTCTGATTTTGGTTTGGTTATTTTCGAATTTAATTTTTGTTATTGTTTACGTGGAATTATATATATATATACACAGTTTTATCTATTTTTGGTTTCGATTGGAATTTGAATTTTATTTTAAAAAAATATTTATTTTTTTAAACTTTTCGTTTTCGTTTGTTTTTAAAAATTTATATAGTTGTTTTTTAAAATTAAATGGCTTCAGAAATATATGAATCAAAATGATGACTATTAGTGCAAAATTAAGTGTACTTTTGGATTAACACTATATTTAAATTTTAATTTATCCGATCTAAATGATCACTTGAAGTTTCTAAGAGGCATAATCATCAAAATAATTTTTCAAACACTTAAAAGGTATCATTCATGAGAATGTGGCATGACATACATGTAACGTAATAATTTAAGATATAATACAAGCTAACCAATAAGAAGTTAAACAAACATATTCTTACAATAATTATAAAGCCATACCAAATTTAGAAAAGAAATTACATTTGACCGTGGCCATGTGGAAACTATTAGTCCCTAGATATCCAAATTAATGATATTTTTTCAAATGTTATTTTGGTAGATATATATATAATAATAAAGTGAACTACTGTTTTATGATCGTTATTAAAGTTTTCTTTTTCACGAAAGAATCATTTTATGCTAACAAAAATAAGACTATTGTCTATAAAATTTTGAAGTCTCGTAAATAATATAATAAACTATGTTTTATTAATTATAGAGACTAGAAAGGCACTTGGAAAAATTAAAGAAGCCATAGTTTCTTAGTATTTAAATTTCTTGATTGATCTAAAAATATATATACTGGGTAATTATTCTAAATCATCTCTACAGAATAGCAGTTATTTGACGAAATTCTGTCCAGTTAATATCGACATTTAGAGTTGGATTAATTTATATGATTGTGATTAAAAAAATCATATTATTTATTTTTTTATTTTTAAAATATTTTTTGGAAGTGAAAAAAGCGAGAGAGAGGCCCTAAAAGCTTAGTTTAACCTAAAGGCTTAACTTGTTTGGGTTTCAAGAATGTAGAAGATATTGGGCTTCGCTTTAGGCCCATAAAGTCTCTCTCACGGCCCAGCTCCTTTTTCCCTCTGGATCTTGTGAAAATGAAAACCACTTTCTATTATAGAAAGGGAAAATCTGCCTCTGGATCCGCATCTTGGTGGCTCCCGTGAAAAAGTTTCGACCTTTCCACTTACCCACGTAGGGAATTAACCAAATGATATATATATATATATACGGATGGTCCATCCAGTGAGAATCTGTGTGTTTCCCCTCTCAAGTCTTGCTCTTGCTCGTACAGATTCTTGAATGTGGAAAATCTCCTATTCGGAAGAACTGTCAAACGGGTTTCTGATCGGGTCATCTTGGGCACCTTACGATCTCTACAGTCACAAACAAAGTCTTGTTGGATCGAAACTTGATTGAAGCAATGGCAATGGCCGATGTTTGTGATAAATATGAAACAGAGCAGAGAGATCTTCAGAGAAAAAACCATGTATGTTTCATTATTCTGTAATGGTTTTATACAAATACAGCAAAACAGGAAATGAGCT